GCCTTTAGTTAGCCTATACCCCAGAGTGCCTCCTTGAAGGGGATCATCAAGAAAAATAGACTCGTCAGCTTTGACATTTAGGGCAGGGCAGAAAGGCTCATCAGCGACCCTAGAGGGACATGGTGCAGGCCTCAGAGCTGCGTCAATATGCACCTCAGAAAACTCCAAAGGACCAGCTGCCCTGAAACTCCCCTTGCGGATTTAGAAGATACAGAGAAGGGATGAGTATAAGTCTCCCCAAAATATTGATTCACGTAGCGATTAAGCTCACTAGAAGCAGGAGCAGCTCCACCTTGAGAATTCAGCGCGCTGACAGGCTCAAATTGACCAGAAGCTGAAGCAAACAACTCGTCCATAGTGGGAACTCTAGCCCTTTTGGGAGAAGGCTCACGTGGAGGAGAAATAGGCTCTAAGTCAATAATAGGGGTAGGAACCTCTCATCCAAAAGTGCTGGGCGCGTGACCGCGACGATGACGGCTACGCAGACGATCACGGTAAGACCTCGTCTTAGAAACAGGGTTGTGAGTTACAGCAGCGCCGGAAAATACAGATGTGAGCCAGAAAGCTCAATAGTTAAGCCTGTAGTATTAGAAGTTTCAAGCAGAACATGCTCGGCAAAAGTAGAGGACAAGAGAGGTCGACTCTCCGAAATGGGAAGTAAAGCTTCATTGGTAGAGGGCAGAACATGCCCAATTGAAATAGAACCTTGAGGCTCAAGCCCATAGGATGCATCAACTTGCACAGACTCAGATACTTCACCAGCACCAACAACGGTCGGAGTATCGAAAGAGGCAGCGTTAGACAGAGAATTTGCGAACTCATTGTTGCTGTGGCCTGTGTGGTCTGAGGTTTTTGCAGCATTAGGGACTTTGCGGTTATAGACCTCATCCTTATTCTCATCGACAGTTTGGGTGTCCACCGACCGGAGACCGCAGCCGAAGAACTTGGCGTCATCAACGACCCAGACTTTTGGGGAGACTCGGCATTCCCCCTAACTTGATCACTGGCAGCAGTAAAAACTTCAGGCTCGGTCTCTGCTCGGATAGTAGGAGTAGAATGAGCATAGGCCCCAATAGTGGTTGAACCATGTTTGAACTCAGGAGGGAGTGGACCTAATTCACCCAAGCGGTCAGCAGCATAAACTTCTAATACTTCAAGAGGAAAGGAAGGATATCCTAGAGTCTTGACAAAAGGCTTCCAAGTATCATCCACACCTAGCAAAGCCTTGTCCAATTTGTCATAACCTAAAAAGGAGAAAAACAAGTCAATCATACTATCCCTGAAAGAAAAGCAAAAAGAGGCAGAAAAAAGGATTATGAGGCGCACATAATCTTACCAGACTCATGGGTCGAGCATAAGAGCATGAAAGAGAGCTGAGCATTCCCTAGAGCGTATAACCCATTGGGAAGCCATGTTTTGGGAGAATAGGACTCACCCTCAAAATGATCAAAGGACTGAGCTTCTTTGGCATTGTTAGTTTCCCGTAGAGTGATGCCACCCATATTTGATCTAACACAACCAAAGGAGCGAGGGCACCCAAAGTCAACCGGAACGCGCATCCACAAGAATTTTCCCTACCAATCCCTAAAGCGGCCTAGTTTGGGGTAAGACAAGACTCTTTTAGGTTTCGGTGCAAGATAAAACCAACTAGAGTTAGCACTTGAAGCACTCCGTTTAAAGAAAAACAACGGATGAAACTGAGAGAGAGACTCTAGTAAGCGTTTGAAACACACCGTCCAAAGCAAACATATCAGCGTATGCAGAGACGCAGGCGGAATCAAGGAGAGAGTAATGTTTAAGGCATGCAACAGCTTGTCTAGAGTTGGATCCAAGGGAAACCTTAGTCCCACATCCAGCTAGGAAGCAAAAACGGCAATGTGGCCCACTGGAGGGTTGGCAAGGCTGGACCCAACTTTAGGCAGCACTAACTCATAGCCATCTCCTATCCTATAAAATGTATTCCCACACTCTGCTAACTTTAAACGGGCAGCCAGCATTCGCCAGTCAGAACTCAGGGAGCAGAGACGAGGACCGTCAGCCTTGTCGTCCAAATAAAAGGTGGAATCACCTGGAGGGACCACCTCATCTACATACTAGGGTTGACAAGAATTCAAGGTAGTATCTCCAGGAGATTGGGGTTGAGGAGTAGCCATTGAGGTATCAACAGGAGTGGAGCTGCGCTCTACATAATGGTCAAAATGGTGCACATCAGATATATCATCCAACCAAGCAAGTTCACACAAAGGAAGTACATCAGGAAAAGGGCTCCTAGAGGCATCAGCAGGAGAGTTAGCCCCAACCTCAGCTGCCAATTGTACATAGCGAGCAGCACACAGTCGCAGACACAGCAAGTGAAACAGCACAACCCCCTGGTCATCAAGACCCTCTCACAATAAGGGTCGAAAGTATTACTGCGCACCCTACCACGAAGATAAGGATGGAACACACTAGGATCAGAGTGTCCGCCGCTGGGCTCAGCAACGCGAGCAGAAGCACCAGCATCATACACACTCCCCACTGGAACATTGCAGTTGGAAGGAGACACAACTGAGCAAGAAATGGGAGAAGAAAAAGGGACAGATGGCCTGGAAGGCTCACCTGAGCGAGTCGACTCGGAAGAAGAAGCAGACTCGGACTCACCACCACCGCCGTAAGTGCGGGCGGAATCATTTGGACTATTAGAAGCGTCCGACATGGCCAAAAAGATCAAAACTTGAAAAAAAGATAAAAGAGCAAAAATTTCCAATAAAGAGGCAACAAAAATAACCAATCAAAGAATGAACAGTAGAAATACAATGGCGACAAAAATGACAACAACAAGGCAAGAATTGGTCTTTGAACAAGAAAGGAAGTATATAGGGGCTAATTAACATCACAACAAAGGGAAAAAGGACGATCTTTGGAAAAAAAGCATGCTCAATTTTACAAATGAAAGTACAAAAATGGCGGAAGAAGGTTTAAAGGCGGTACCTTGTGAGGAACGAACAACAAATGTGGAGCAAACAAAGGCTAATTCACGGCAAACTTGCGGCGAGCGACACCCAAGCAAATTGCGCAAATTAGAGAGTAACTGGGAAAAGGCAAGTGAGTGAATGAGAAAAGAAGGAGGAACAATGATTTCAAAATTAAGATGAAAACTGGTTTGGTGAAAACGCGGAATACGAAAAGAGGAGAGGGAAAATTGAATACTAGCATTAAATGGCAGTTACCTACCCAACAAAGGTAGATAACCAACCACCCACTAAACATAGCCACGGAGTAAAAAAAAAAAAAAAAAAAAAAAAAAAAAAAAAAAAAAAAAAAAAAAGGAGAAAATCCAGTCTGACAAAACCAAAGCTTCTTGCTTAGCCTCAGCTCGTCGCTTTGAAATAACTTCAGCGGGAGTAATCAAAGCTCCTCGCTCAGCCTCAACTCATCGCTTTGAAATAACTTCAGCGGGAGTAACCAAAGCTCTTCGCTCAGCCTCAGCTAGTCGCTTTGAAATAACTTCAGCGGGAGTAATCAAAGCTCCTCGTTTAGCCTCAGCTCGTCGCTTTGAAATAACTTCAGCGGGAGTAATCAAAGCTCCTCGTTCAGCCTCAGCTCGTCACTTTGTAATAACTTCAGCAGGAGTAATAAAAGCTCCTTGCTCAGCCTCAGCTCGTTGCTTTGAAATAACTTCAGCGGGAGTAATAAAAGCTCCTTGCTCAACCTCAGCTCGTTGCTTTGAAATAACTTCAGCGGGACTAATCAAAGCTCCTCGCTTAGCCTTAGCGCGTCGCTTTGAAATAACTTTAGGGGGAGTAATCAAAACTCCTCACCCGGACAGTTCAGCATAACGCACCTCACTAGCAGAACTCTCTGAGACTCAAATCAACTGAGTGTAGATGTGAGACTCGGGGGGGGGGGGGGCTAGTTGTATGAGGAGGATTTCGGTCAGCAGATCCAGCCAAGTAATGACCTGGCAGGAGTCAAATACTTGGAAGAGCCGACACGGGTCCTTCGTACCATCTCTTGGGGGACTAGTTGTATGGGATAGCTTCGGTAGAACTCTTTTTATGCTCTTAACCTCATGGCAGAAGAATGTCTCCAGCCAGCAAGAGCTGGCCTAAGTGCCTTAGACCACCTCTTAAAGGGCTAGTTGTATAAGGTAGCTCCCGCTGACTGCCCTGCGATCCTAGCATTACTTGAGGGGTGCGCACTCGTGCCAATCCTGTCCAAGGCAGGGAAAAACCTCCCAGGGGCTCAGCCTCACAGCTTACCCCAGAGGGCTCCATTTTAGAGTCGGGGATAAACTCCCAGGGGCTTAGCACCAATGTTGGCCTTAGCAAGCTCCATCCTGCAGCACCAAGAATAGAACAACTATAAATAATAACCCAAGTATAACGAAAAAGAGGTTAGACAAATACATTTCATCACTTATCCATTATTATTCACAAAAAGCCTTACTAACTTAAGCATCGGAGGGGGGTTCCTCGAAGCCACCCCCGAGGGCATAACCACTGTTATTGTGCAGGTAATTCCCGATCGACATCCTGGCCTAACCCCAGCAAGGCTCCGGAACTACACCCGGAACATCTATAATCTTATATTAATTTAACTTTCAAAAATATAAATATTTAATATGATGAAAATACAAGCATATGTTTAAACTAATCGAACAAAAGTTTACATATTATTGATACTAACATTTGGCTTTAATATATAAGTAAAATTTCACGTCAAAGTTAATGTGAAGCATATGCATAGTGTTATGTTAAAAGTGATACACATATTGAGGTACGGAGGGAGTACTATATATGGACAATAAATTCAAACACGCTCATACCAGATTAGAACTTTTAATTACCATATATTTAATATAAAAAAAACTATGAAAATTTCACGATAAGATGAATCTAACAAAATCTAATTTGATGATTTTTTATATATAAATTAGTGTAAAAATATGGTGATATAATAACTTTTTTTTTTGGTAATAAAGACCACACATTATCTTGTAAGTTGTTAACAAAAAATATGGTGATAATGTGTGGTCTTTTTTATGTGTATTTTATAGTGATAAAGTATGAATGTTAATAAGAAAAAAAAATAAGTATTGAAAATTACAAAAAGTATCAACATGGGTACAAATTTTAACTGTGTTAATTAAAAATGAAAAAGGTAACATACATATTTTGTATAAGGTTAAGATTGGTTTAAATAAAACTATCAAATCAAATTAGAAAATATAATTTGACCAGATTAAATGAAAATAAGGTGAAGACGGCGGTTTGGTCCATAAATCAATTAAGGGTCATCATTACACTAGTCAACTTTGATAAGGGAGCTAGTCTTCCCGTCAAAAAAAATAAAAAAAAAGAGAGCTAGTCTTGGCTCCTTACTTCTCCACTGCTATGCTATTAGACGGTGGAGTGTACTACTACACAAGAAAATCAGCACATCTTTTCTTCCAACACTCTTCGTGACTTGTCATATCATACCAAATCCTGCTTGCAGTAAACAACTCATGATCATTTTATGCATTTTAAGTCTCTTCTCCAAATTACTTCAATAATAAACACAAACCCTTAATTCTACATATGAACAACAACCATGCAAACAACTATAACGGGCCAAAAACATAGTAACCCAGTTGATCACACCACCGCCACTGCCTCCGGCGTTGCATCTGCCTCCGCCACCGCCACTACCACCGCCATAGCAAGAGATCACATAAAAGTATTGCGGAAGAAAAAATTCTCAATTGGTTCCAAAAGGCCAAATCCTCTTACTCAAGACTTACATCATGCTGTTACAGTGTTACTTGCCTCTCTGCTGAACTTTACACTAAAGACCTTGATTTTCTCATGGAGCTTATCCAGGTTTTTTCTACTTACTTTTTTTTTTTCACATAAACATTCATGCTTTGTGTCTTTTGTTGCATGCACTTTAATGTAACACTTTTTTTTTTTTTTTTTTTATTATTTAATTTAATTGTATGTTATTTGAAGACGTGTAGATGTTTAAGTAGGGTTTTGAGTTTCCCAAGTGCAAGATTTTATCTATTGTGTTTGGAATTTTAGAAGAGGGTTTTGATGGCTTTGTCTTTTTTTTTTTTTTTTTTTTTTTTGATAGTTAGTTTGATTTTTATTGATCTAAAAGATTATTATGGGGAAAAAATGTTTGATTTTTTGGGGTTTTATTTTATTTTTTTTATCTTAGATTTTAAAACCCATCTCACAAAATCTATAAACTTTTGATAAATTATAGAAACCAATTTTGGGATTCAATCATTAGCTTAATGTATCAAGAGGTCGTGAGTTTAAATCTCGATTTTGTCCTCCTCAGTGGAAATTTACCAAAGACATTTCAAAGTATGGAATATGGAGTAGCTAAGGCGTTGGATAAGACAACTAAAAGTAGAAATACTAAAATATTAAATTAAAATGAATATTAATACACCCCGATTGATGTGTGATTTGTCGTGCATTCCCAAATTAATACCACTTTAGGAAGCATTTTAAATGTTTATCTAACGCGGCGTTCGTTAACAAGATCCATATTCAAATGAGTAATCTAAAAAACAGAAGAATTATATAGTTGTGATCTTTTTCAAAAAAAGGAAAAAAAACCCATAGATTTATTGTACTGAGATACTCCGTATGGCGTTTGGAGAGTAGTAAATTTTATGCTTTGTATGTAATGATTTTTTTTTTTTTTTTTTCTGGTGACCACGAGGGGCAAGCCCCAAAACGGAAGAAAAAAAAGATAACCAAAGAACAAAAAACAAAACGGAAAAAAGCAAACTACTAACTACTAGACCTTAGCATCATCTAACAATCAAGGTGCTTTAGGAGGAATCTACCTAGTTCTAGACACACCCCTAAGGTCCTCCAGTATACAGCATGAAGATCCTTTGAAATCGCCTCGAACATAACCAATTTTTAACTGGACGTCACCCCAAAATCAGCTAACCAATCCGCAACTTGGTTGGCCTCTCTGTAGGTATGTCCAATCGAAATCTCCTGATCATGGCGTGTAATTAAGAGCTTGCATTTGCGAATCAAGTGAATAAAAGGAGAGGTGGCCGGTATAGGCTCCACCAGCATTCGGAGAATGGTTTCCGAATCAACAGTAACTTGCACCTTGTGGTATCCTCCATTCCAAGCTATGGCAAGGCCACGTAGCACAGCAAGCAATTTGGCTTTGGTGCAAGAACAAACACCACAGTTCATAGCAAACAGCTCATATAATTCACCTCGATGTCCACAAATTACCCCACCTGCACTGGCTGGCCCCGGATTACCCTTAGACGCATCATCTGGATTGGGACGCACCCAACCCTCTCTAGGGAATTCCTATCTAATCAATGTTTCGGTTCTCTTCCTCTTGCCTGGGTGCATCCCCATTATCTTATTCTCATAAGCTCGCCTAATATCACCAACTCGAGCCATAATGAAGCTCAATTGATCCATGGGAATGTCAGCCTCACTTCGAAAGCTACGCTCATTCCTCCAACGCCAAAGCCACCAACAAGTAGTGGCAAAAATGCTAGGCCAATCATCACATCCTGACATGATTTTGCCGTCCAAGTTTAGCATAATCCCATCCTGAATAGACGAGACTAACCATTTATCATCCGAAGGAATACCAATTTTTCTCCAAACCACATGGGCTGCTGGGAAGTCTCTGAGTATATGAATGATGTTTTCTTCCACAAAGCCGCACATATAGCATCGAGGATCTGCAGTTAGGTGTCGTAGAAACCTATTGGCGTTGGTCATAAGCTTCTCATTGTAGACCAGCCATAAGAACAATCTGATTCTTTGTGGGAATTGTAGCTTCCATAATGATTTTAATGTTGGCAAGTTTTGTTAACGATTTTCAAGGATAATGTAGGGATTTTTAATGTGTTTTTTTATGTTAAAAAAAAAAAAACAGAATGCAGAGGATAATCAGTATGAAGACAGTGTTGAACCAACCCTTGATTTTGCGTTGACAACCCAAGATATCACTGGTAGTGGAGCTCAAGAGACCCTTTTAATTTTCAACAATGAAGTCAGTTTTTCGAAGCAAAACATGGAATCTATATGTAGTGTGGGTCAATCCACGAAGAAAGGCAAAAGAAGTAAAGGCTTCATTGGTGAAAAAGGTAACAAAAATGACAAGAAGAGTTTTTAATCACTCCTTTTTAATATAAGGCTTCTTAATTCTAATTATGCAATGTCTGGATTTTGGTAATTTTTCGTCTCAGAAATTCAGTATGTGTTAATAGTATTATAGTTTGTATTAGATGCTAGGTAAATTTGTTATTGTTATGTCTTCCAATTTAATAATAATCTATGATATTGAGGTGGTGGAGTAGTGGCCTCGCTCCCCACCTCAAAGACGCCTTCCAATGTGTCTTACAAATTGTTTGCAGATGCATACTGGTTATACAAAATGTAAAAAGAATTGGAAAAGTTAATCCAACAAAGACAATTAGTTGAGCTCTTAAGTGTCCCGAGGTTCATACTCTAAAGCTTATTTTCGGGGAAGGAGGGGAGTTTTTTGGCAGGGTATTCTATCCCCCTTGGTGTTACCTTGAGATAGGGTCATAGAGAAATTATTTGGCAAATTACTACTATTTTTAAAAATTGTCATTTTCCCCAACTCTCCCGATAAAACACAAAAAAAAAAAAAAAAAAAAAAAAAAAAAAACCAAGAAGAAGAGAAATGGCCGATTGTCGAGCCCTATTTACTGATAAATTACATTTCGAAAAATGTATAGGGCAATTAATACTTGTTTTGTCTTAGTTAAATGACCATGCAACCTATGACTTCAATCTTGTCCACATCATTACTTAAGGACTTATAACTCCTATATATTTCCAATATTTTTTTTCGATGTATATATATTCCCACAATGATTGAGAGTAGTACTAGGACGAGTGACTTCCTGGGAAGTCCTCATGGTGGTTCATGTAGCCGACCCACTTATGGGATTAAGGAGTTAAAGCAGAAGAAATATATATACTTCCAAGCAAAAGAAGTATATATATTTCCAATGTTACATGTTACTTCTTGCGTAATTTTATAGTATGTGCTTATTCTGCTTATTTTGACCATGTAATTTTATAGTATGATTTAGCTTATTCTACTTATTTTGATCACAAATAAAACCATAATGTTCTCAAACAAATATATTAATAGTCCGGATTAACTAATATTAAGTTGATTATTGTTTATTGCAGGTATTGGATTTAAAAGTGTTTTCTTAGTAAGTAAATTGCCTCATATCATTAGCAATGGTTACAAGGTAAAATTTTCTGAAGAGCCAGACAAGGAGTGTGGCATTGGGTACATAGTGCCTCAATGGATTTCTGATGAATATATTGTTTCCAAAATACAAACTGTGTATGGGTCAGAGCTCTTGCCAACGACGACAATTATCCTGCCATTGAAGCCTGACAAGGTGAATCCAGTAAAAAAGGAATTGTCATCTCTTCACCCTGAGCTACTTTTGATTTTGTCGAAATTGAGAAGGTTGTATGTCCATGAGAACTGCAGTGATCAGAAGACTGACAGTGTGACCGCAATATCAATAGTCAGTGAAACCAATTATGAGGTTTCAATTATAAAGATGCAGACTCAAGAGTTATTCATCTCTCAGTGAAGGAGAAGTCAGATGCTCCTGAAGAAAAGTGCAAATACTACTTGTGGAGACAATCGTTTCCTGTGACAGATCAAGCCAAAGTCAGTGAAAGAGCAGATGTATAAGAATGGGTTTTGTCACTAGCCTTTCCATTTGGCAGGAAGCTGAGAAGGGGGACTTCTTTGGTCGGTGTCTTTGCATTTCTCCCGACTTCTATGGTGATAAATTTCCCCTTTGTTGTTCAAGCTGATTTCATCCTTGCTTCCTCTAGGGAATCTATTGTTTTTGACAATAGATGGAATCAGGGAATTCTTGAATGCGTGCCTGTGGCATCTGTCAGTGCTTTTGTGTCTTGTGTCAAACAAGGCTCACCTTTGTTTGGTGTCGCAGAGGCCTTTAAGCTCTTGCCATCTCATGCTTCATCATTTCAAGAATTTAATAAAGTCAGAGAAACAATCAGAATGAACCTTTGTGATGCTTTAATTGTTCCCTGTGAAACGTTCAATAATCAGAAAACTTTTTGCAAGCCTAGTTCAGCAGCTACCATTGACCCTAGTTTTCAGGAGATTTTGAACAAGATGAACAAATCAGGGGTCTCTTTATCTGGCCTTTCTTCCATGAAAATGCGTCTAGTGCATTCTTCTCTTGATCAAGATAAGTATAAGCCAAGTCTTGACTTTCTTGGTATCTATCCTCAAGTTACATGGCATGAAAACTGCTTTACTGCTTGCAATCTTGTGCCTCGAGCTTCTGATGACATGTACATTGATATCTTGTATTTTATTAGCCAGTACATAAGTGGCTCTATAGCGAGCTTCCCTATATTGAAGATGATCAATGAGAAGGGTGAGATTGATTGGTGTAGTATTGTTTCCAAAAGGAATGTGAAAACTAAGATTCAATACTGCGTACTGGAGGAACTTCACGTCTGGCTGCAAAAGTGCAATATTCAGTTTGGCTGCCCAGTTTTCTTCTTACCTAATTCCACCCAGGTTGCTCTGACTAGGCACCCTAAAGGTAAAAAAGTTTCCAATTGGCTGTTCTATTCTGCTGGGGTGAAAACTTGCTCAGCATTTGAATATTGCTCCATGCTTTGTGATTACATATCTCATAAAGGGGAGTCAAATGGCGTGCTTATGTTGGCTCACTTTCTGTTTCACAGTAAGCAGAAGAAGTTCTTGACAGACACTGATATTTCTTCAATTGCACGGTCGCTACCTGTCATAGATGGCTCTGGCTGTGTACGGGCCCAAAGAACTGAGATGCTTGTGACTTCATCAGGAAGTAAATGGGCTCAGCTATCTGGACCAATGAATCCATTCAGACGAGAAAACTATATTGATTTATCAGAAACTTATGCTGCAAACGGTGTGTTTGCTGCTGAGAATACACCTGATAAAATGCTTCTCAGATTTCTGACACTCAATGCTGCAGCCCGAGACCCGCCTGAGATATCTCTTCCGAATTTGCCTCTTCCAGCAGCATCTTCGTTAATGACTAGGGAGCAGGCTTTCTTGCTGTTGGGCTGGATTAGATTTCACCGAACCAGAGTTGAAAAATGGCCAGTAAAGTTTATCGAAAGCATTCGTTCTGGCAAGTGGATGAAGACAAAAACTGGAGTCGACTGTCCAAGTAGTTGCACAATTCCAACTGAAAGCGGAAAGGCAGTACTAGAATTAATGAAAGACGTTCTAAGTGGTTTCTCCATCGTGGAAGAAAATTTTTATGGTGATCAGATCAGGTTATATATAGATGAATTGACGTTTCTTGGTGTTCAATGTGGGATAAATGGTGTGCAGAAGATTATCATGGATCGTTTCAAGGTTTTGTCTTCTACTACCATGAAAAGAGAGGAAGCATTCTCACTTCTTTTATTCATTGGCTTCTTGAAGGAAAGGAAAATGCTAGATGAGCAATGGATAAACACTATGACTCTATGAGTAATGCCAGATGGCTGAAAACTTGTAAATGCTATGCTGCTCCTAGGAATTCTGTTTTATTCGAGTCAGATTCGGAAACTGAAGCTGCATTTTTGGTAACTAGTTTACAGGTAGTTGATGGCATGTTCTATGGGGGCAAAGTTCATTCTTATCTTGATGACCTTCAGCTTCTAGGTCTCAAATTTGGACTGGAGGTGTATTCGTTGGCTGCAGCGCATCTTTCTTTTCCAGAAAATCCTTTATCTATGACTTCTAATTGTGGTTACTTTGTACTTAATTGCTTAAAAAACATGAAATCTTCAGCTGCACCATTTATGCAGAAAGTCAGCAGTACTCCTTGGTTGAAAACAAGCTTTGGTTTTAGATGCCCCTCAGCCACAATTCTTGATAAACCAGACTAGGCCTGTTTGCTGGAAATTGTCAAAGTTCCAATAATAGATGAAACTTTCTATGGGGAAGGAACACAATTGTACGTGGAAGAACTAAAAGCAATCGGAGTTGCAGTTGATCTTGGAGATGTATTGAAGATAGTCATTAGTAAATTGAAGTCTCTTTTGTCATCATCTGTGGCACCAGATCTTTTCATTAACCTGTTGCATTGCATCAAAGAGTTGAAGAAAACCAAGTCTTGTGTTTTAGCAGATTTGTGTGAATGCTTGATTAAGGAGGAGTTTTTAAAAATTCGACATGGACACAAGAAGCCCGGAGAATCTATTCTTTTTAATTCAAAGTGGGCATCTATTTCATTCTTTGTGGATCTTCCTCTCATTGATGATTCTTTCTACGGAATTGAAATATATGGTTTTAAAGAAGAGCTGAAGATGCTGGGTGTATTGAGTAGCTTGGAAGAAGGGGCTATATTTGTTGCTAAAGGGCTGAAAAGGCCGATTGAACAAGGACTTTTGACAGCTGAAGGCACACTTTCATTGCTACAGTGCTTGAAAATTTTTATGGCCGATGAAAATGGTCCCTCTTTTCTTAACAATTTCATTGACAACATGATGAAAAGTGAGCTCCTAATGACAAGCTGTGGATATAAATTGCCAAAGGACACTCTCCTGTTCCAGTTTTCTTGGAGTGAGTTGCTTGAGCTGACAGATGCTCCTTTCATAAATAATAAATACTATGGACTGATATGTCTGCTTATATTGATCCACTTAAAAAAATTGGGGTTAAGGTTGATCTTGAGGAGGTATGCTTAGCTCTATCACTCTCTCTTCCATTATTCTCCGAAACTCCTCCCATCAAACGGATATATCGTTTTCTCAAGGAGTTTCACTGGAAACCTGTTTCACCAGAATCAGCAAGTTTGCAGATTTGGATTCCTTCAAATGATCATTTAGAGAGGGAATGTGGGTGGATTCTGAGCTTTGTGTGCTTCATGACAAAGCCCATCATTTTGCACCTATTCTGTATTCTTTGGAAAGATTTTATGAAAAAGAGTTGCTTCCCTTCTTCAACACTGCTTTTCGAGTCATGGAATGTCCTTCAACAAATCACTACTTGCAATTATGGAGCCTTTGGGAGGCTAGGGAGACCCTTGCACTCTTAGAAACTGAATGTTGCTTCTTTTGGAGTTATATTCTCAAGAACTGGAATCAAGAAATGAGTGCGTGAAATGCAGTGTTAAGATTATGCTATATTCAGCTCTATGTACTGAAGTAGAGCTGAAGAAGAAGCTGATTGTTAAAGGCCTGATTGAAATAGTATTGGGCTTCCTTGCCTGTAAGATTCACTTATCCACCATGAGTAGACATGAAGCAGTAAATTCTTTGCTTACCCTCTCTGTTTTTGGAAGCAATGAAAACGTACAAGTCTCTTATAAATTGCTTCTGACAGCTGAAAAGTGCCTAGAGAGAGAAGTTGTTAAGTTAGTTCATTGGGACAAAAATCCAAGTGGTTATTCATCGATGGCACATTTGATGGATTCCAGAACACTACTGCAGAGTTCGTGAGTTCCTTTGCTACAGAAATTGCAGAAGGATTGCTTCTGGAAGAGAGAGCGGTCATTGTAAATGACCTGCGGAATCTTATCCAGATGGGTTTTCTGTTTGAGTTTCAGGAGCACTCAATTCAGTATTTGCTTGCCAAAGAGAATACTGAGATTGTAGTGGAAGACGAAGAGTTTCTTGCTACAGCCTTTCCTTTAGTGGAAGGCTTGTATGCTGCAGATCATGGGAAACGGGCCTTAACTCAGCAGGAGATATTGGCTCCTGTGACCCCAAGTGTCCCCCAAAGTGTAAAGAGAAGAAAATTGAATGACAGGTATTTGACATCTCTATTGCTAGCTATTTTGTTTTTGGTTGTGATAAAGCATACAGTGAATTAGTGAATCTAAGTACTATAATACTCGGGTTCATTGCTCTACTACTCTTTCTCCCCTCTACTTTCTAGGAGCATTGACAATTTAACATATTGGGAAGTATGAACTCACATAATAGCATTTTCAGTAATTGAAGTAAATATATAGAATTTGTTCAATTGTTTTAGAAAGATAAGGTTATCGCATAGCTGTTACTTGTAGAGAAGAAAAGTATTTGTCCCAACTGCCGAGATGGAAGACATTCCAGCATTTCATAATTTTAACATATGAGGTATCTTACTAATCAGTCTATCTGCAGTGGCAACTGAAAATGAAGGGACACCAAAATCCAATTTCATAAAAGCTGATGGCAAAAGAGTGTAAGTGGTTGTAAAAAAAAATTAAAAAATATTGTGCTATGTTATGTCTCTCATTCTTTTATTTTTGCTTTCACTGACATATAACCCTGCTGCCTGGCCTGTTGGCTGTGCAGGTTGTCATATGGAATAAAAGAGGAGGCTCGTGATCCTATTCCCATCAAGCCAAACAGGCCGATTACGTCGTCCTTTTTTCGCATTCATGTATGTATCTTTATATCTATCTGTCTATATAATTTCTGCAGTATAGATGTTCAGAATAACATTAAATTGCTTGTGTTGATGTGGATTCCTTTTGGTATCACATACTAACTCAGTAGCTTATATGAATTTGATTAAAAATGTTACTCGTGGAAGTTGCACGGTTGCACCAAATCATGAGGAGCATGAACTTAGAGTTCAAAAACAATTGTGTTTATGTATGTGGATTTTCTTTGAGAACTGTACTTGAGATGTGATAAAGAATAGGAGCTTAGTAATGAAGTAGAGGAGGAGACAGAAGTGATACTTATTAAACATCAAATTGTCACAGTGTTAGTCGTTATTTTGAGTTGGAAATGGTTGAAAAAAGATGTCTACATTCAACAAATTGGTGTATCGTATTAGAAAAGAAATAATGGATCCCATGTATAGGCGTATAGCTTAAACTTCAGTGTTTGCTTACTTTGTTTCTTTATCTTTTTTCAATTTTTTTTGGGTTTATTCATACATAAATGTTAAAACATATTGTGTTCTCTTTGTTGCACAAAGGGAGGAGTTTAGGAAGCAATACAAACTGGAGCACCCTAACAATAAGTCATTTGGTGAAGTGAGTATTTCTCATAGAATCTATATCTTCATGGAATTCTACGCTATCCTGTTTTTCTAAGTTATTAATTACTGTTATTCTGTGTTTGGTTTTTTATAAGGTCCCCAAAGCCGCTTCAGAGAAGTGGAGAGCCATGTCTGATCTTGTGAGTTGCAGCAGGATAACACTTTACACAAACTTATTTGATATATGGATTGTGATATTTATGTATAGCTTTCCCAAATAAAGTTCTGAAAACTTTAATTATGAAAATGATCCAGGAAAAGGCTCCCTTCATCAAAATTACAGAGAAGAAAAAGGCTGAATATGAAAAAGCGTTGCAAGTATACTATAGAAAAATGGTAATACGCTTTTAGTAGCTCACTTATTATTTATAATTGATGTTATTACATTGTCAAACCAGTTTCTTAATTGAAAGGATGAATATTAGGAGACATGTATGAAGTGTTGTAAAAATGGTGTCTAAAACAATAGTCAACAAAATTAAACAAGAACAAAAGCAAAAGAGGAAATTCGGTGTGGCATGAAGAATCACTGTCTTTGAAAACGAATTCCGGCGCAACCGGGGTGCACCATTGTAATCGTCAGATCGTCTCCTAAGGTTACACACCACTCTCACACTAAGGCACTTTAGAGTGAGAGGTGGAGTCTATGAAAACTTATGCCCAAAGAAAGAATGTGTTTAACTTGTGTTTATAATTTCAGTGTACTAATCCGAAAAATCAGCCTTTAACATATTTAGAAGAATGAAGGAAGATGGAAGACCAAGGTGAAGTCAATGGAGCAAAAATCAGAAATAACCATGGTGATTTAATCACCATAAAACCCTCTTAAATGGGGGGTTACAAGGAATAAAACAAGAAAAGAATCCAAGAAAGCTATTGGAGTCCAACAGCTGAGATTGCGGGCGGAGCTTTGCGCGGTCGGGCGAGCACCCAGTCAAATTCTCGGTTGCTTTAGCGCCCGGTCGGGGAAAGCGCGCCCGGTCCAGCAGAGCTCCCCCGATCGGGTGACGGAACTCCAGTTTTTACGATTCCTCTCCCGCCTTGGCGGGCGCCCAGGTCAGACTACTTTGATTTCCTTCTTTATTCCAACATGAAGGAGTCACGATCTAAACGTAGTGTGGATGGGGAAACAGTCAGGATAATGGAGTAGCCTAACCTCTCTTGGTCAAATGTTTGAAGATAATAAGTTGCAAATTTTCAATTGAGATCAAAGTCATGTATTCTCTGATTTCTCTCATTCATGGAAAAAATACTAGAATTTGATTTATGTAATTAAAGGAGAATTCTATGTGTTTTTTTTTTTTCTTGAATCGCTAGTATATACCAATTTCAGCATCAATGCTTTATATTTAAGGAAGCTCAGTTTTCCCTAGAACTCACTATGTGCGACCACTCTTATTTCATCCAGAAAAATCCGTACTAGATTCACCTTTGAAGGTTGAAATTAAAGCTGGGCACAGGTCAGGTTGGCCTGCCGGCGGCCCGGCCCAGCACGAACTCCGACGTGGCACGGAACGGTCCGGCCTGGTACGGTGGTCGCCAGGCGTGCCGTGAGGAGTTGGCCTTTTCTAGCACGGCACGACACGAGCCCGTCCTATGGCACGCGTGCCAGCCCACTAATGACGGTTGCTCAACGGAAACAATGGAGAACGTTGAGCAACATTCTTTTTTTTCATTTGTTTCCAACGACTAATTTCCCAAAATTCTCTATAAATATGCTAGGAACCGAATTTGTTGTTATGTAATTATAGAGAAAATGCAAATAGTTTGAGCAGCTAAAATGGTGTATTGACTAACAGAGTAACCACAATACAACGGGCCTTCTTTTAAGAGGAAGGTGCTCTCCCCAAAGTAGCTACTCAATTTCTGGATACCCTTTCTTATGGCCATGCATTCATACATATACTACTCAAGTTTCTACCAGTTTCCCTTACATGCATTCTCCCTTCCCGTAACAGAATATTATTTCCTAATAAAAAAGACTAACAAACCCCTTCCACCAAATAACAGAAAGCAAAATAGAATTTAGATACTAATTTATTTAATTAAGGAGCACTTCCTAGTGACAACTCATCATCCATCATCCAACTAGCCTTTCCTACGCCTTGCATAAGTGATCGTAATTGGAGACTTGGGCATGTCCCTTGCAATACCCCCACAACAAGCTTCACCTTGTCCTCAAGGTGGAAATCAGGAAACCTGGCATCCACATCAGAAAAAGGTTCCCAGGTAGCCTCTCGTACTCTGGTAGTCCCTTCCACTTAACTAACACCTCCAAAATTCTCTTGGTAAGCCATATGTTTATGGCAAACACCCAACAATTGCTCGGGTTCCACATCCAGAACCAAGTCAGCAGTGAGTTGCGTGGGCAGAGGGGTTGGTGTAAATTGTTGACCGTAAGCTTATAAGCAACTTCGCCAACCCTCTGAACCACTTCAAACGGCCCATAAAATTTCGGTGCTAGTTTCATATTCCCCCTTCTTCCAACAGAGCGCTGCCTGTAGGGCTGTAGGCGAAGATAAACCATATCACCCACCTCGAACTGACCCTCTCTCCACTTCCTATTTTCATAGTCCCACGTGTATTCTTAGGCCCTCAGTAAGTAGAACTTAAGGTCATCCAACACTGCATCTCTCTCCATCAACTGTTTCTCAATAAGAGTTGGTAGTAGACCCCGGGGTAAATCGAATTAACTAAGGTGGATCCCGACCATACAAGATCTTAAAAGGGGTATGCATTGTCGCTATGTGAAGAGAAGTATTATACCAATACTCAGCCCATGGAATCCAAGATGACCACCTCTTTGGTTTCCCATTTATGAAGCACCTCAAGTATGATTCAATGCCCTTATTGAGCACTTCAGTTTGCCCATCGGATTGCGGATGGTAGGCTGTACTACGGGCCAGCTGCGTTCCTTGTAGCCTGTACACTTCCTTCCAAAAACTATTGAGGAAAATCTTGTCATGGTCCGAGACTATGGTGGAGGGAATGCCATGTAAACGGATAACCTCTTTAACAAAACTCTGGGCTACCATCGGGGCTGTATACGGGTGCTTGAGAAGTATGAAATGGGCATACTTAGACAATTTGTCAACCACCACAAGTATCGAATCCCATCCCCCTGAATTTGGCAGACCCTCGATAAAGTCCATAGAAATACCTTCCCACACTTTGTCCGGTATTGGTAATGGCTGCAATAGCCCCAAGGGACTAACCGTGGCTGCTTTGTTTTGTTGGTACACCCCACACTTTCGAACATACTCACTTATTTCCTTCCTCATCCCAACCCAATACCACTCTGCTGCCACGCGTTGGTAGGTCTTGTATTCCCCAGCATGTCCTCCAATAGGTGAGTCATGGTACTCACGTAATAGAATCACTGCCAAGTTAGATTTCCGAGGAATGACTATTCTCCCTTTGTACCTTAAAACCCCGTCTTCCAAGGTGAACCACTTGGGCGCTTGTTCCCCTTGCTGGAGCTACTCAATGATTTTCCGGGTTAATGGGTCTTGTCGTGCCACTTTCTACACTTGTTCCCACGTAAACCCACAAACAGAGGTCATGGTGAACATATAATTTCAGGGGCAAACTCACGAGAAAGGGCATCGGCTATCTTATTTCTGCTTCCTGGCTTGTATTGGATTTCAAAAGTATATCCCAACAGCTTACCCACCCACTTTTGGTAGGCTTGCCCCACTTCTCTTTGTTCCAGCAGAAACTTCAAACTCTTCTGATCAGTTCGCACAATGAACCTCCTGCCCAATAGGTTATGCCTCCATCTCTCTACTGCTAACACGATGGCCATCAACTCCTTCTCATATACAGGCTTACTCTGGGCCATGCTGCCCAGAGCACGACTAAAGAAGGCAATAGGGTTCCCAAGCTGAATCAAGACTGCCCCAATGCCATACCCATAAGCATCGATTTCCAGTATAAAGGTCTCTGTGAAGTCCGGCATTGCGAGGACCGGAGCTTGAGTCATGGCTGTTTTTAACCTCTGGAAAGCCAAGGTTGCCACTTCAGTCCACCCGTACTTATCTCTTTTTAGTTGCTCTGTGAGAGGTCGAGCGATCTGGGCATAATCCCGTATGAACTTTCTGTAATAATCGGTCAGCCCTAAGAACCCCCGTAGTTCTCTTAAATTGCGAGGTTGAGGCCAGTCAGTCATAGCTTGAATCTTTCTTTGATCTACTTCCACTCCTCTTCCGGAAATAATGTGGCCCAAGTAGGCAACCTTTTCCTGCCCAAAATCACACTTCTTGTAATTTGCATACAACTTGTTTTCCTAGAAAATCTTCAACACAACAGATAAATGATAGTGGTGCTCTTCCATTGTTTTGCTATATACCAAAACATCATCAAAAAATACAAGAACGAATTTCCGTAGGCAAGGCCAGAAAACAGTATTCATGAGAGATTGAAATGTAGCAGGAACGTTCGTAAGCCCAAACGGCATAACCAGAAATTCATAGTGCCCATCATGCTACCAAAAGCAGTTTTTGGAACATCAACATCTCAAACCCGAATATGATGATACCCGGATTTGAGATCGAGTTTAAAAAAATACAGGCTCCATGAAGTTCATCCAATAGTTCATCTATTACAGGGATAGGGTATTTATCAGGGACCGTACCTTTGTTCAATGCCCTGTAATCCACACAGAACCACCACGACCCGTCTTTCTTCTTGACTAAAAGGACGGGGCTAGAGTATGGGCTCACCGAGGGCTGGATAATTCCCGCATTCAACATGTCATGCACCAACTTCTTGATTTCTGTTTTCTGGCTTTGAGGGTATCGGTAAGGACGAACACTGATCGGGTCAGTGCCTTCCTTCAATATGATGCCATTTTCTATCTCTCTCCTTGGAGGAAGCCCGTTGGGCATTTCAAAGACCTTCTGGTTTGTGTCAAGTAAGTCTTGGAGGTAATCAGGAATGTTGGTTGGATCTTTCCCCTCGTCCGAGGTTAAAGCATTTAGCTCCACCACATATCCTTGCCCCTCTTTCTTCAAGGCTCTAATCATGGCCCTCAAGGATATTCCCGTGCGACCAAAAGAAGGGTCACCCCGCAGAGTCACCCCTTCGCCACCGAGAATGAACTTCATCACTTGGGTCTTCCAGTTCGTGGTTTTAGGGTTTCGTAGTGACCCGACACTACGCGGAAGGAAACCCACCAAGACCCGCCCCTTAATTAAAACAATTAACAAGCATATTAAACTCAATCAAACAAGATTAAGAACAGGAATTATACCTTTGATGCGTGCTTCGCTCCCAAAGAGCTCTTACTTTAAAATCCCGAAAACACGAGATCTCCAACGGATCGTACCCTCGACCCGACCCGAGCGTCCTAAGTCTTGAAGGTTAGTCAAGACCCGGACAAAATAACTATGAGTTTTACGAATCAAAGGTTTACTCTTTCTTAGAGTTGCCTTTTTAATTCCACTCAAGGTTGTTCATTCCCAATACCCAAGCTTGGTATTTATAGGGAAATGAACCCTTGAACTTCATTCCCTAACCAATGTGGGAGAATGTATAATTTTGCTAATTAATTTATTTCTAAAATAAATTAATAAATAAATACAATCACAATGCAACAAGTGTCAAGGGGAGAGAGAAAGTTAGGTGAGGACCATGTACCTTGGGGGGGGGGACCATTGCCTTGCTCCCCAAGGCATGGCTCTAAGCCTTGGTCCCCACTCTCCTCAAAAAACCACCTCAAGCATGCTGCTGGGCTGGCAGCCAGCTGGCACTGCCAGCATGCCCAGCCAGCCAGCACGCACCAGCCCACCAGCAGCCTTCGCATCCCAACCAGGCAGTGCTGCTTGGTGCTGGGCGATGCTTTGCGATGGTGTGTGCCAATGCTGGGCGCTGGTGCGTGCTGGCGATGGTGCTGCCCCTGGCATCCCACGCACCACACGCATCCACGCTTCACCCTTCGCACATGCTCGCACACCCAACATGCGTGCTGCTAGCGAGCCACGCATGCTGGCCCCCTTTGCCTCGCACTACACGCACACACCTTCACAGCATCTCTCACACATGCACTAGCCACGCACCATGCGCACTAGTCATGCACAACGTGCATTGGCCTCGCACCACACGCACACCCACGCATCACACAGCAGCCTTGGTGCGTGGTGATGCTAGGCTGCAGTGCGTGGCCTAGCACTATGCTGGCGCCAATGCCAGCCAGTCACCCATGCTAGCACTTGGTGCCAGCGATGGTG